AGTTTAGTGCCTTCTGCAGGCAATAATATGGTTTTATTTTTACCATATTAATTTTAATGCCTATTTATGATACTGGTTTTTGATTTATGGTAGTATTTTAAAGTTTTTTTTAATAAATATGTTTATTGTGTTAAGAATTGAGTTGATGGAAGGAAAAACATTAGGGTCCAGAATTCACATGGCTCCTAGGATACGGGAAAATGAAGACGCTGTGTGAATGACTGAGCCTTGAGCCCCATTGCTGAAGAGTAGGTTTAAACTTTGCTTCAACCAACAGCAAGTATTCAAGGGATTGTCTTACACATTAGAGGGTTACTTTAACTCCACAGCAGTTAAAGGGAAAAGCAACAGAGGGCACAACTGAAGTCTCAAAGACCGTGAGGTAACCACCCTGTCAAGATTGGTCAGTGACAACTGAGATCACATCCCCAAGTAAAAGCCAATTTGTGCAAGATAGAGCGTAACATACAGAAAAGCAAATCCATTGTTTTATTTCTAATCCCGTGGAAAAAAGCTATGGAGGCAGCAGTGGTTGCTGTCTTTTCAGAATCCTTTCTAAGAAGGAGAATATGTTTATAACTGTGATCATTACACGTTCTTCCCCCACCCTCCCCCCCACTCTAAGCGACTATACAAGTTGATGTCGTAGAAGCAGAGACAGAGGAGATAACTCAAGGAAACACCCTGCTCCAGGCCAGGAGAACCACCAAGCGTTTATCTGAGACATCGCTCCCCTCAGGACTGCAGAATGTAAAATGCTGAAACAAACTCGTCTCTGAGGACTCACGTCTAGTCAGGGTGTAGGGATATTGTAAAAGCCAAGCCCTCTCCTAGCACACATCCCTCACAAGAAAGCCTTTACACCCGCTGCTCGTGTCTCCTCTCCAAGAACTTAGAGCACAGAGAGCAGGCTTACCAGATCGGACTCCTCCATGTCTGAGTTCAAACTGTGCAGCTCCTACTATAATCCGGGCAACAGTGAGGTTTGGAGCTCCGTGTTGACTTTTTTAACTGTTCAAATACCTAGTTAGTATACTAGCATCTGGCTTATCATGCAAGCTGTGTGGAGAGGAATTCACTAAACCAGCACTGCCCAACCGAACTTCCTTCAAGGATGCAATGTGCATTTGTCCAGTATAGTAGCCATTAGCCATGTCTAATGTCTTTCCAGACTTTTAAAGGCTTTCCAGACTCCAAAGTGTGGCCAGTGCAACTGAGGAACTGAATGTTTAATTTGATTTGATTTTACTTGAAATTAAAATCTAAATAGCCACATGTATAGATAGATGACAGCACAGACAGTTCTAGACAACCTAGGAAGCTCCAATCCAAAGGTTTTACTTATCTGTAGGTATGTAATTGTGAGCCTAAATTGCTCAGGCTGTTTTTTAAAATAGCCTGAACTAGTTTTATTATCTTAAATATAACCAGCATTTCCTTAAAGCTGACTATGTTCTAGGCCCTGTTCTAAGTGTTTTAAAAAAATCAGCTAATCGTACACCTGAATCTAATACAATATTGAACGTCAACTGTAATTGAAAAAAGATCAATTATAATTTCAAAAAAAAAAAAAAAAAGAAACTCAACGTATCAGATAATTCTTACAACATTCCCATAAGATGGGGAGCAATATGATCCTCGCTTTAGAGATGGCACTGAGAGGTAAGTAATTTGTCCAGGTAAGTGGCAGAGCCAGGCTTCAAACCCATGAAGACTTGGCTCTAGAGTCCTTACTCTTAGTTTCTATGCTAAATACTAATTGTACCATCCAACATGGTAGATAATAGCTACATGCAACTATTTAAGTTAATTTTAAAAAGTTCAGTTCTTTTAGTGCACTAGCTACATTTCAGGTGCTCAGTAACCACAGGGAGCTAGTAACTGTTGCATTGGACAGCACAGGAAAACCATATTTTCATTTTCACAGTCTTATGAAACAGCCCTGCCTCATGCATCACTGTCAGAGTGCCCCGAAATTAGTTTTGAATTTTGCCTCTTCCATGCTAAGCTCTTATTTATTGTATTCCTGTTATGTGCTGGGCAATTCCTAGGTCTGGGGCTACACAGGTGATCCAATGGACAGGGTCCTGTTTGTGGAATCCATAGTTTAAGAAAGGAGATAGACATTAAACCAAGGTACTGCAGAGTAGTGGGGTAAGGATTATCTTTTGGATTAGTGGCGCTGGGACAGTGGACATCCATCTTGGGAAAAAGATGAAATTTGATCCCTATGTCATGCCATATACAAACTTTAATTCCTGTTGGGTTATAGACCTATATGGAAAAGGTAAAACCTTAAAACTTGAGGACTAGGACTATTTTCATGACTTCAATATAAAGACTTCTTAGAACAAACATCACTGACCATTAAGAAAAAGATGGATATATTTGGCTGTATTAAGAGTTTCTGCTCATCAAAAAACATGAAATCAAATGTCAACTGGTTATAGAAGGGTTTTGTTTAGCTCTCAGAATATTCTCAAAAATATATTTGAATTACATGCCCACATTTAAAAATGAGAATTATTTTCAATAAAAAAATCTAGATTTTCAACTTTGTTTCAAAAAAAAGAGGACCAGAGAGCTGGCCGAGTGGCTCAGTTGGTTAAGAGTGCAAGCTCCGAGCAACAGGGTCGCCGGTTTGATTCCCACATGGGCCAGTGAGCTGTGCCCGAGCTGAGCTGCCACGGAGCTGCCAACAGGTGGCAGGATGGCTCTACTGGTGAGAGCACATGCTCCTAACAATAAGGTTGTGGTTTGACTCCTGCATGGGAAGGTGAGCTACGCCCACCTGCAACTAAGATTGAACATGTCACCTCGAGCTGAGTGGCCACAAGCTGCTGACGGGCGGCCAGATGGCGACTAGACTTGGAGATGAGCTAGCTGTGCCCTCCACAACTAAGACTGAAGGACAACTCGGCTGTTCCCCTTCCCCAATTCCCCAATCTAATCTTTAAAAAACAAGAAAACAGAGGACGATATGGAAATGCTCAGCCCACAATTCCTCGTGGGAACAAGCTGTGCAGAGGCTGCCCCCTTTACCTGAGGCACGTCCTCTCCAGCTCACACCAGCTGGTTCTGTTCTACAAAATCTGCCTGGCCTTTCTACACATGGGACTTTGTATTAGTGGTATTCAGCAAACACAGAAATAACTTAGTAATTACTAAGTGTGGTAGATGCTTAGTAGGAAAAAGTACTGAGTTTTATGAGGGAGAAAAGAGAGGAGTCCAACTATAAATGGATTAAGGTTCTGCAAGTGCCACTTGATCCTGGGCAAGGTGGCAGGGAGAGCGGTGGTTCAACAGGCTCATTTGTAAACTCCCTCAGCAGGCAAAGGTTAGGACCCAGGTGCTGTCTCATATCCTACTTTACGTCGGTCCCACAGTGGTCCTAATGCTATTCGTTAAGCAGAAACAGAAGAAAGATTGCACCCAATAAGACCAGAAAGGGCATGTTAGCCAGGAGCCATGCACTAGGAATGACTTCCAACAGCAACACTATTAGGACAGGTACTTATAACCAGCACATCAGGGATGATAGGAAAAGTATCAAGCATGTGGCGAAAAGATCCCAGAGCTTTCTTTTTATGTTTGGAGACATGTCTGCTATGAAAATAAGGAAGCCTACAGAAAAGAAAAAAGAAAAAGACTAAATTAACAAGTGGAAGCGGTGATAATGAGCTTTCTGGGGCACTGGTCCACGACAGCCCCACACTCTCACTGTGCTCAGCAGCTGCAGAGACAATTTCTTCTTCTGCTTACGAGTGACCTGCTTTTTTCCTGACACTGTATATTCTTTCGGATCCAGACAATCTCATTTCTCTGCACCCTATAGATCTCTTCAAAGAGAGCTTTGGGCACAAAGGAGATACATGGGGCGTGGAGAATAATATGAATATGGTCACCAACTCAACACTGTCATGTGGCAAATGTTCAGTTTATAAGAGAACATCCCAAAGGCGAGAATTCTTATTTAAACACTGTCACAGAAATCATGCTGGCACTCCCTAATCTTATGTTTTTTTGCATTTTTACAGTAGGTGCCACACTCCTCAAAGAAGAAACCACACTTTCCAGCATTTAGAAAAGAGAAATGTGGCATGGAAAACATCCTCCAAGTCAGACTTGACAGTAGGGAAGCTGCAAATGCAGGTAGTGGACTATGGCTTTTACTTGTGTGTTTCAGAAGCACGGGAGAGCCAGGTTTCACTGAGTGCAATCCTGCTAGAAAGCACGGGTGTGGGACTAAGTTAATGATTACCGTTAAGAAATACTGTTCGTGGGGGGCACTTTGAGAGTGGATAAAGGATTGCTCAGGGCACCCAGGATGAGGTTGTATGCCTAATAAATGTTAAGTGAATTCAGTTCAAATAGGCGTCTTTTGAGAAGAAATGAGATCGTCTTTATCACTGGGTGGTAAATGTATGTTTTCAAGCTCTGTTTGCTATAACTTGAATTAGAATAATACTTTGGGACTTGCAAAACATCCACCAATTCCTGAACTCGTCTCTCAGGAAAAACAACCATCCCTTTGGTTTTGACAAGGCTTTCCAACACTCGGCTTCCTTTCTTTGGATCTTTCTGTCATAGGTGGATGGCCTCATAGAAACAGTGACTGATAAGTCCATGAAGTTACTGGCCCAGAGACACTCTGAGCTTCAGCAGTGTGAGTTTCTAGGGGACGAAATTCTTCAGTCTTCCAAGCAGTTCCAGAGGATTTTCAAGAGAACCATGAGGAAGTATAAACTGAAAAATGTGTGTTTTCCATGTACCTGCTGCTGCCTCTGATATTGCTACTGATTGCATAAAAGTTATCTTCATAGGGATTCTTATCTTTTGGTACATAATCCTGAATAAATCTCTCTAGTGAATTAACCAGTGGGGGAAGAGGCATTTTTTTAGAGTATTCTGCCCAACAGTCCTTTAAAAATGCTTTTTCAAACACTGACTTTTGATTCTGTGTCAATATAAGCAAATTTTTGCTTCATAAATCTTACAAATAATGGAAAATAGAAACATTTATTAAGGCATAGCCATTCTGCAAATAAATTTCTCCCATGATTTGCCAGATGAAGTTAGAGGAAGCATTTAAAGGTATTATTACACTTTTAATATGACTACTACTGAACTAATTTTAAACTTTCATTTTTAAAGACAAGAATTCTTATTAAAATTACAAAAATGTAACATTTTTAAGGTATGATTCATGCAGTGTCAGATTTTCGAACTAAAATAAATGAATAAGGATGGAACCTAACAAGTATTAAAAATGTGATTCAATACTTAAGAAAATTACAAGTGATTCAGCCTTAGCTTAATTGTTAAAAAGATCATGAAATTCTTTATGCAAGGCCATCTTCACAGACTATTTATCTCAGACTAGTCTTCACTCTACCAATACATTTTTTTTCCATTGAAAATGACTCCTAAAGAATAAAACAGTAGAGAAAAAAAATATATGAACCAAACAGTTAACAACCATGCTGCTCACGTATTAAGGTGAGAGATCTAGAAAGTAGTGCATATGAATTTACTTTTCATCTTGTTATTACCTCTAACACCAGGGATGCTTAATATGGAAACTGCCCCACAATGAGCATACACCACAAACATGTTGCACATTATTTTATAAGTTCATAGCCTTCCTGAAGCTATTCATGTACTCCATTTTTAAAAGTGATAACAATTTCCAGAAGTTGACTCATTTTCTCATGCACATTCTAGAAATACCACCTTCTCACAATCTTCAACTTATTTTGTAAGCAAATCAATATTAACAGTTAAAACTACCTAGAATGTTAATGAAAACATATCTGGCTTGAAAACATTTTATTAAAAAATTTTGGATGTTGCTTTTAAGTTTAAGAATAAAAAAGCTATTTCAAAAAAAACCCCAATTGGAGTCATTTTGTGTGAAGAAATATGAATGAACTGTACATTAATATCTAAAAGCAAAGTAGTTCACTGTCAAAACTTTAAATATCTCAAGAGCACACAAATTCCAAACGCACTAAGATCCTGCTGCTACTTCATCTTGGGAATGCTGAGCGATTAGCTTGTCTGTGGCTTAGGATCTGCTTCCATGCTTATTTCCTGAGCTTCTTCTACTTCAGAGAGCTTTTCATCATCTGCAATCGAGAAAGAAACATAAAACCTTAGTCAAACCTGCTTAAATTATATGTTTAATGAATACATGAAAATAGTTTTATCTTTTATTAGCCAAATATGTCTAAAACAAACATGGCAAAATGATAGCCGATGATTGCAATTGGCCCACACAAGTGATTGGTTTTAAAAGTTCCATTTTGGTTGTTGTTTGTTAGTTGAATCAAAATGTAAAATTTATGTGATAGATTTCACTAAAAAAAAAAAAAATCTAGGTCTTAGGCTTTCCTTGAAAACAATTCGATCAGGTAAGACAGAAATTTCGGAAGGGCTGTAGTCAATAGGAAGGCAAGTCTCAAGTTCCCCCAAAGCACCCGCCACTCACTGAGTGTGCAAACGTGCTTATGCACTAATTGGTTCATGCACTCATCATGGCCTGCCTGGGTCCTGAATTATCTTATAGAATAAACTATGGTAAACCAAGAAACATTCCAAATCTATCATCCTTGAGTTTCTCAAAATATAAACTACTGAGTATGTGTTTAAATCATGTGTTACTACACATTGAGACTTTTACGCATATATTCAGAAAGCTGAGCAACATGAGTACCTTCTGATGTCATCCAGCTACGCTGCTGTTCTAAAACTGAAGGGGTACTCTGGAAGATGTATCTTTTAGAAGGTATGCCCCTGGATCATTTAAAAATCTTCATAAATATTCATTATGAAGCTATTGCTACTTACTTTCCAGTGTTTGCTGAAGTTCGTGGATGGTACTAAGAAGAACGTGAAACTGTTTCCGTCTCAATTCTAGCTGTGTTAACAAGAAAAATATTAATACACATTGATCTATAAACATATGTATCATGATAGCTAACACATATATATGCAATACCTTATCTTCAACACTTTCTTTAATATGTGAAAGGTGCTCTAATTCTTTTCCCAGAGCCTCCAGTTCCCTGAAAAAAATAAAACACTGTTATATTTTGCTAATTGGGAGAACAAAATTCACAATTAATACCTAACATTTTAGTTACTAAGTAGTATTTTAAAGATTAAAAAAGGATAAGGAATTATAACTCCATTATGCTGAGAGTTTTAAAGCAAAGATGTTTTCTTCTTAACTTCTAAATATGTAGTTATTTTCAATAAACAAATTTTTAGATAATTTTTAAAGTATAGGAAAACATAGATAATAGACTATCAAACCCCAAGAATTGATACATTTTGACATTTTGTCATACTCATTTCAAGGTTTGATTTTTTTTTGGTAAAAGAAATAAGACACTGCAGATTAATTTGAAATACACTTTGAACCTTACCCCCAGTCCTCCATCATGGGCCTTTTTTCTTCCTTTACTTCCCACTCAGGCAATTACTATACCACTCCAATCCTTTTTTTAATGTATATATTTGTATCTTTAAATAATATAGTGTTAGTATATAATATTTGGAGGGACTGTAACTTTTATAAATGGTTATTATTCTATATATATTTCATTTATCATTATGTCTTCTGTTTTCTTCTATGATTATGTTTTTGAGATGTGTTTAAAAAGTATATATCTACTTTATTCTTTTTACCTGCTATTTAGTATTCTACCATATGTGTATACCATATTCTATTTATTCATTTTCATATTGATGCATATTATATGCATTTATTAGAACTATAGACAGTAAGGCAGGAGGAATAAAAAAAATCTAATCAATAGTATTAAAATATGTAATATTGATGATCTGATCGTTCTTTTTAGAACGCATGTATTCTTGTAGAAATGAAATACATAGGCCAGTATGTAAACATTTGTGTAGAAAGATTAGTTACTTTCAAGTAAAGCTCTAAACTTACTTTAGTGTCTCATGCCTGTCTGGATGATGCTGGATCACTTTTGCCAAAGCATCATATTCTGAAAGATATAAAAATGTCTATAAATTAAGGTTTTTTTGAACTTGGATATCAAAACAAAATGTATACTATCACAAGTCTCCCATAATCACTTTCATAGTACATAAAGAAATTAAAACATTGATGGATGAAAAGCGTATTGCCAGTTTCACTTGCTTCAGATACAAATGTAATGATACATGATTTCAAAAGTGTCCCAGAAAGGACTTTAGCTCCCCCTCTGTTTTCCATGTACCTGTTCATGGGCAGAATAGAAGGGACCAGCATAAGCGTAAGTGCTCTTCAGTCATCATTAATTATCAAGTGGGCTGATTCTGAAGAGGATCCTATTCATAATTGCCCAGCAAACAAAAGGTCAGCAAGGTAAATATACCATTAATTTCAGATCATAGACAACAGCAAATTACACTTCTCACTCCTTGTGAAGGTAAAGATTTCAGAAACTTAGAAATGATTTAAAATTCAGCCTTGTTTCTGTTCCACTGAGACCTCCAAGATAAGTCATGTATCTCCTGTTAACCTTTCTAATGAAATGATAAATAACAAAATTCATTTAAAAGCCTCATTAGTCAATAAAAACACTGTAAAACATTTTAAATGATTTTAGAATTCATATTAATTATTAAATAAGTTGGTATGTCTTGCTATAAATTGGTCACTGAAACTTGACCACATGCATTTTAGACCGAATTAAAAAAACAACTTTTAAAATAAGGAATCAAACGTCATCTGAATTAGCTCACTAAAGAGTAAAGTTCATTGTTTTGGAAATCAGCATATTAATTCAATAAAAGTGTGATTTTTAATAACATTTTTTTGGATTACAAAATAGTACATGCTTAGTGTTAAAAAAAAGAATTATTTAAGCCATAGAAACCTACAACCCTAAAATAACCATATATATTTTCTATTTCCTTCTAGTTTTTCATATATGTCACAATTATGATTACACATTATTTATTTTTCTTTCAGTTTACATTATAGGAGGAGCAATGCTTCTGCCATAAAAAATTATTTTGAAGTGGGCTGGCCGAGTGGCTCATTTGGTTAAGAGTTGGCTTGGGGGCCCGAGCTCTGAGCAGCAGGGCTGCTGGTTCGGTTCTCATGTGGGCCAGGGACGCTGCACCCTCTACAGCTAAGATGGTGAACAACACCTCGACCTGGAGCTGGGCTGCCGTGAGTGGCCAGCAACAGTGTAGACTGCAGCCCCTGCTACAGTGGGCTGCCATAGGCTGCAGTGAGCTACCATGAGTGGCCGACAGCCAGCGTGAGCGGCCATCCAATGGCTGGCAAGCGACTGCCAGGAGGAGCGCAATGATAATACCAACATGGGCCAGTGAAGCAACGTCCTCCATAACTAGACTGAAGAACAAAAGGACAGCAACTTGTCTGTTCCCCTTCCTCGATTCCCCAACGCTGTTACCCTCCCCTAATTTCCCAATTAAAAAATCTTTAAAAATAAAAATTATTTTGAAATAGTTTTTATGGACTGCAATAAGGACGCATCCTAATTTTAAAACAAAAGAGATCAAAACAAAACTAAACTTTAACCTTCCTGTTATTGTTTAAGCAGCTTGTAAATATTTGTTTGCTTTGTACTTAATAAAAACTCAATAGGCTTAAATTATTTTCTTTTTTCTTTCTGAAAGTAGCTACATTAAACAAGCAAACAACAAACAAAGCCCTAAATCTAGTGTAGTTGTGTAAATTGCTTTTGTTGATTAACCATAACATTATTTAGGCAAAGGAGGCTGAAGATAGTACAACAACAAATACTTAAGAAATACTTAGGTCATCAATACAATCCAGGAAATAAACATTTTTTTTCAGCATAGTCTTCCTTCTCTGATATTTTAAAGAATAATATAGTTTTAAAGAATTAAGTTTGACTACTAATTCTTTCTTATAATTCAGGTTGATTCTAGCCAGAGATTTTACCTCACAACATTAAAAACAGCATGAAAATACTAGTCAGTAATAAAGTATCTGCGTACTAAATCCCACAAAACCCTTACCTTGGCGATTTTTTCGTATTCGTTTTGCTTGAAGAATTTGCTTTTTGCACTCAGCAATTTTTTCATGTGCTCCAGCAATGCTACATTCTATATAAATAGGTTTTTTAACAGTTATAACAACATATATAATAATCTCCATTCATTTTCAATTTTAAAAGGTGTTCTTAAGTTGCATTGCTAATAAAATAGATGCTGGCATTTTAAAAATAGCTATAACTTAAAGTACTGTATCATATTAGAATACATTTTTATAACCAACATTTACTGTATTCTTTCTATTAATATTATTATTGTTATTATTTTACCACTAACCAAAGAAAACTGTTAGTCAGCATTGTTTCCTTTATACCACAAAAATTAAAATCACAGATAGAGAAACATTATTTTAAATTTCTTTACCTATTTCTTTGTATATCTTTTCATAATTTTCCATTTCTCTGAGGTTCATATCATATACCAGCAGTGTTTTGCCCATTGAAAATTCACATTGGGACAGTGTACTCAGCATACGTTGGTACTGGCTGTATCTAATGAAAAAGAAACAGATTAAAGATTTTTGTAGATTGCCAAAGTTGAACTGTTTATAGCGCAGGAAAAGGTTTGCTAATTACATTATATCAAGTTCTGAGAGAATCCTTTGCTTTATTTAAAATTATTTAGAATATCTGTCCCTTATGTTTTCTGTTTCCAAATGTAGTGTACTTGAATTTATAAACAGCTTTAGTTACAAAAGCAAAGATGGGACTGTTATTCTTATCAATATAAGCTTAATTCAAACAGCTATTTGTCTGAATTTTGTTTTAAATACTTTTTTAAATGTTTTGATCAGTTTTTTTTCTATCTAAACAATTCTGTTCTCCCAATTTTTTTACTCTATACAATTATTTATCACCAAGAAAGCTAATTCAAATGAGGAAATTTTTTCTAAGTTAAAAATTATTAAATATATATAAAACTTTGCAGGAACTTATTAGTTTATTTAAAAAGAACACTTTATTTAGGTATTTTGTCTTACTAAACATTTATCTGCTAAAAGTGACCAAATTAATAAGCCTAAATTTAATCTTTCTTCTTACCACTATGTCTTCTGCACATTTTAATAAACATAAAGCAGGCCCCTCAAGAGAAGCCAGAAAAATCTACTCTTGATTAACCAAGAGTTGACTCCACTGGCCAGTTAAGGTGGGTTAAAATTTGCAATATTAACAGGACTGTGTATAGTCTAAAATCTCATCAGGACATTGGTATGGCAACAACAGTGAAATGAAATACCCCTCTTCCTGGGATCCAGAGTTGCACCATTTAATGAAACTTTTCACTAGCAGATTAATTCTCCGATCATCTCCAGCACCATCTCCATCAATTAGGAGACGCTTCCGTATAACTTCATCTGGAGGAAAGAAGAGCAATGAATTAAAAAGACCATTTGGCTCTTGTTAACGTTCAGGAACAAATAACCAGCATCACTACTCATTCACTCATCCAAAAGAAAATTATTGAAATGTGTCTTAATGCTGCTGAACTGTACACTTAAATATTGTTAGTGGTCAATTTTATGTTATGCAGGTTTTACTACTATATATCCCGGGGTGCCAAAAAAATGTATACACATTTTAAGAGATGTCATCTATGCTCAAGCAGTAGTCTGCCGTAATCAGAAGTGTCTGGACGCTGATGGTAACCACCGTGAGCACCTCTTGTAATTGCAGAAGTCAGACGTGACTTGTATTCACTTTCGTTATTGGTATATATTGAGTGTTACAATGAATACAGTTTTTTCCTTTCTTAAAATGTGTACACATTTTTTGGGGGGGCACCCTCAGTATACACACATATATAAAGTTATTGAGTGTCTATTTATGTCAGTCACTATTCTCGAGGCTGTGGTTATAGCAGTGCAAGGCTCTGCCCTCACAGATCTGGGATTCTACTGCTGGGTTGTTGAGCAGAAATAATTTTCAGGTACCACCAAGAAAATAATCCAATAATTCTTGGAGAACTTGTTTTGGAAAAACCTGTTCAGACAGAAGGAAGACTGAAGTTTTCATGTCTCTGACAAATGTGAGGTACTGGTAAAAGGAAAAGAGAGAAAAGATTTAAAAGATGCAGTGACAGACAAGGAAAACAGAACAAAAGATGGGTCAGAGACAAAGAAATGGATTTGTTTTTAAAAATGTATAATGTAGTTATTATATCTGTAATGTCCTTTCCCCATGAGGACTTTTTTTTTTTCTAACAAGTCTCTCTCACTTCTGCTCCAAGGAAAAGAAAAAGAGGAATAGGAGTGCAGATGGTGATGAGTAAGAAGTGGGACACCAAACTGCTGGCCAGGCAGCCGTGAGCTAGTGTTCTTCCTGGATCATAACACAACAGAGGCAGTTCGAAACCACAATAAAATGTCATTTTCACTTACTGGACTGGCAAAGATCAAAAGACCTGATAAAAGTGCTGGCAAGGATGCAGACAAACTGAACTCACACTCACAGATGGAACGTAAGCCAGTCCACTACGTTGGGCAACTGGGCAATAACAAACACTGTTTAAAATGCACATACCTTTGACCTTGTAATTCCAATTCTAGGAATTCATACTATAGATACATGTGCACTCATACACAAAAATAAATGTAAAAGGATGTGCTTAGTGCTTGCTTCGGCAGCACATATACTAAAAAAAGGATGTGCTTAACAGTCCTGTTTATAGTAGAAAGATTGCAAACCTAAACATTCACGAGAAAGAGACTGGTTAAATTATGAAACATATAATATTATGCAGCCAAAAGAATAGTGTATCTATAGCGATGCCACAAAATCTCCTTAGATATGTTTAGTAAAATGAAAACAAAACAGGTGCAGAGAAGCAGTTTGCTGCCATTTGTGTAGCAAAGGGGGAGGCTTTGTGTGTATATGTGTGCACACGTCACATGTGTTGTTTGTGTATTTAGAGAATATCTTTGGAAGGACACACAAGAAACTGGTAATAGTGGCTGTTTCCGGTGAGAGGAATGACAGGGGATGAGAACAGACTTAATTTTCTAAGTGGCTTTGCAGAATTGTTTCTTTGATTTTTACTGTGTGCATGCATTTATTTTATAATAAGTTTTAAAGTGTAAGTAATTCCTGGAGAGCCTGCATAATGAATCAACAGCAAAATCTTTAAACAATAGTTCCTGTGCGTAGGCAGAAGTATTTTTGAGCGCAGGTGCAGCGGAGATGAACTTTGGGAGGAAGATGGCTCCAAATCTATTGTGTGACATCATCAGATAAACATTTTAGAATTGGATTTTGCTCTCAGTCATGGCTTTGACAGGCTGCTCGAAGTACAGATTCAACAGGTGTTTCAATTTTACCCTTTAAAATACAAATAAATGTTTTCAGTTTTTAACCACCAACATGTTATTTGAGGAGACTGAGACAAACATAGTCCCCGAAGAGATTAAAATGCAGAAAAAGAATTGATTTTTAAAACTACAAACATGTTTTAACTTTGTTAAAATAAAAGTAAACATCCAATTAGCGAACAGTTTGGTATTTAACTGATACTATTAAATTCATTTTCTGGTTTTCTCTCTACTCTTTCAAACCCCCAAGAAACCCCTACTTCCTTCCAATTGCCTGAGCATCCTATCGAGGACCAGGGATTGCGGATTAAACGCACTCAGGGAACAGGGAATGAGGTACAGGGAAACTGGGAAGTGAGTACCCTGACTGACGGGGAAGCTACACCAGAACAGGTTTTTCAAGAGATTTTAAAAAAAATTTTGATGACTAACAAAAAAATGTTTCAAACAGATTTTGTAATTCCTCCACCTGCATACCTAAGATCTGTGTACCTGTATCTGTGCACGTAATATCTCAATTACAAAAGCTTTTGAAAAATGTTTAAAACACTGTACAGGCCAAATAAACTTGGCCAAGGGTTCATGAGGGCCTATCTGTCTTGTTCACTGTTTCCTCCCCAGCCTCTCACGCTGTGTCTTTACACTTCTGATGCTCAATAAATATTTTCAAATTGGATTTGTGGTGCCTGCGTGGGATCTGTCCTCCAAAGATAGCTTTGTATCAGTAAAACACTACCAAGAACTAGCAGGCAACTCTCTTATTTTCAGGTCCACATAAGAGATTTCTCTTCTTGAATAAAGACATGAATATCTGATCAATCAGCAGGCGTGCCCATAGGTACTAGAGTAAGTTCTGAGGATGTGAAATAAAGACCGGAGTTCTTTCACGCTAGTTGGAGAAATAACACACAGAGGAGGCTGCGGTTGTTAAATGAGTCACGCAGACATACACAATAGTGGGGATAAGGAGGACAGCTCCCCTTGGCTTGGTGGGGCGGGGGTCAGGGGAAGTGGAATATAAGGTGCTCTTTTGATATTTAAAAATCATCAATCAGTTGGTTAGAGCACAGTGCTCATAACACCAAGGTTGCCGGTTCGATCTCCGCACTGAGCTGCACCCTCTACAACTAGATTGAAACAACTACTTGACTTGGAGCTGATGGGTCCTGGAAAAACACACTGTTCCCCAATAAATAAATAAAAAATCTAAAAAGCATCTAATCAAAATTTCAAATAACATATACCCTTTGAACCAACAATCCAAGATATATTTGCACAGATACAATATAAGTCCATCAACAGGGGACTAGCTAAGTAAATTTTGGTACAGGAATGTGATGAAATACTGTGAAGCTATAAAAAAAAGCAAAGGAGGAGGAAATAAACATTTAAGTTCTGAAACAGAGAAGTTACTTAAGATAACCTAAAAGAGTAAGATGAAGAACAGTGTGTTTGGCATGTTTTCTTTCATATAAAAATGAGGGGGAAGAAGGATATATATGTTCAGGCCGGCCGAGTGGTTAAGAGCTGGCTTGGGATGCCAGAGGGCCCCAGTTCGGATCCCACATATGAGGGCCAGTGACACTGCCCTCCACAGCTAAGATGCTGAACAACAGCTCAACCTGGAGCTGGGCTGCTGCGAGTCGCCCGCGACAGCATAGGCTGCAGCCCCTGTGGCAGTGGGTTGCCAGGGCTATCGTGTGTAGCCAGCAGCCAGCGTGAGCGGCCAGCAGCCGCAGTGAGCGGCTGTCCAGAAGCCGGTGACTGATCTGCCTCACCCGGGAAGAGCGCAATGATGGTGCCAACTTGGGCCAGTGAAGCAACGTCCTCCACAACTAGACTGAAGAACAATATGACAGCAACTTGTCTGTTCCCCTTCCCTGATTCCCCAGCACTGTTCCCATCCCCCAATTCCCCAATAAAAATCTTAAAAAAAAAAAAAAGAATATATATGCTCATGTGCATATATATTGACATACAAAAAACTAATAAAAGGGGTTACCAAGAGGGACAGTATATGGGGTATAGATCGGGAACCAGGCTGGAAGTTGGGGAAACATATTTTTATACTATTTGATTTTTGAATCATATGAGTACTCAAAATCTGTTAGCTGTCATTGGAAAAAGAAAGCTACAATGTGGTGATAGGATCACAGGTTTGAATATGTCCAAGCGCAACAAACTGTACACATTAAATATGGTATGTGCAGGCCTTCGTATATCAATGACACCTCAAAGATGCTGTTAAAAAAGAAAAAAGATAGCAAGCTAAAGTCCTTTCCCTGTCCTCCGCTCCAAGGAGGGAGAAGGCGGAGGGCTATAGCAGACTTGGGAATGAAAGGCTGCACCTGTACATGAGTGCTGGAACACTAGCGGGGCTGGGTGGTGAAGACGGAGATGGGGGCCCAGGCACAGAGGCAGCCTGTGGTCAGAGGGTGGGAGTCAGCACTAGGAAATGCCATGCTAGTAGGCTTGGGCCTGGCTGGGAGGCAACTGGGAATTTCTAAAGCTTCACAGGCAGGACCTTCCAGCAGGATTAAGCTTAGGGCAGAGTACAAAAGTACTGCACTGGGAAAAAGCCAAAGGCAGGGAGCTAACTGGGAGGCTACCACAGCATATGCAGTTAGGGGCTAAAACGGCATGAATTAAAGTAGAGATCAGAATCACAGGTCCTGGAAGGCAGGTTAGGGCTGGGCAGAGAACTGGTCAGGAGAAGGCAGGGGCCAGCGCTAACCCCGGGGAGCGTGAGTGGTTCCGGTAGGGCAGATTCCCTGTCAAGGCGGCCACGGCCCTTTCTGGCTTCAGCCCTAGCCCTGTTTCTTCTAAGAGCATTTCTTCACAGCCAGACTCCTGGGCCAGATGTCAGAAACTGGGGCCAACGTCCACATTAGTCCACAGTGTTTACTGGGTGTGTGTGACCAATATTTAACTTCATCTCTAAAATGAGAATGAAACTATCCACTTTGCAGGACTGCTTGAAACTATGAAAATAAAAGTACACAAAGGAGCACAATGCCTGTTTATAGCAGGAAAGCAGAAAGTTATCCCTA